CTTGGTACGCACCTGCAACGTTGATAGATATTCCCTTATCCAACGACGCCAGGATACGCAAGCAAGATAGTTGAACTGTTTCCAACCGGCACGACATCGCGAGGTTAGACCGTCGCGACCGGGTACCGCAAGACAGCGCCACATGAGCAACAGACTGTTTTGAGTAAGCGGCTCCAAATAGTTGCTGTCTGATGATAGCGGGACTATAGGTCGGTTATTTAGAATCCCTTCCGCCCGTATAAGTAGCGTGTTCAGTTGTTCATCGGTCGAACACTGTTCCCTACATAGATATAAAAGGATACGTCGCACCGACCTGATTATGCGCTCCCACACACCACAACGGTTGTTAGCTGCTGGTGGATTAAAGTACCACTATATATCCATACTCAAAAGCCGGTCTGATATTTTTCTCGAACTCCACCACTTTACATCATCCCGAAATTCCGTTAGCGCACCAACGAAGTTCGTACCCTTATCACTGTAGGTATCGGTGAAATTGCCACGTCTACCAACGAAGCGCATCAAATATTGTAGGAGTGAAGCCGCCGACAGGTTGCCTGCCATTTCCAAATGGACTGCTCCAGCTAAAGATACAGCCATGGCGTTTTCCTGCGAGCGGCTGCGTTTGGTCTTAAAAGGTCCAAAGTAGTCCACTCCCACGCACTCGAAGGGCACCAACTCGATTCTACTCTGTCTGCCGGTAATGGAGCCATCACTTGTGTACTGAGCTGTGCGGACCGGCGTCTGCATAAAGAGCACGCATCAATCACTCGTGTAACGGCGCCGGTCCCATTGATAATCCAATATCGCTCCCGTGTAAAGGCCAAGACATGCGCTACTCCACAGTGCCCTTCCACTTCATGAAAGCGACGTATGCTCAAGGAAGTAACATGATGTCGGTTTGGAGGAAGACCTGGATGCTTTACTGCCTGACTGAAGTTCGAGTAACTAAGTCTGCCCCACACATACAAAATACCATCAATAAGAACGGGTGACAATCTTCGTAAGCTGCCGTTTCGGGTCTATTGCTGGAGCGCTTCGCATACAGTATAGGAGCGTCAGCCTGATGCACCTCTTGCGGGTATTGACTGGATTGCCCGATCTTTATCAAACAAATACGTGCTTGGTGGAGTTCGGATACTGATGATACCGGAAGGTAAAGCCTCTTTCTTCGCTCAGCCCATCCCAATCAATAGATATTGCCTGTACTGCAGTAACCAAGCCACGACCTTTTGTAGCTTCATCCAACAGGAAAACCGAGTCATTAGCGGGCACATGACATCATTTCCTCCAATCGGTTGGCCTGTGCTACAAAGCATTTCAGCTCGACACCGTCGGGCTTCGTCACTCGAGACTACGTAGGCAGTTACCCTCTAGTTCGAGTACAAATCTGGGTCCCGTTAACCATCTACGCAGTGGACCGAGGTTATGTGTCCTTCGAGAGGCAATGTCAGTTGGGTTGTTCTCCGATGACAAACCACGAAAGACTGTTAGGCGATTTGCAACGAAGGTTCAAAATCTGGGAGATACGTTGTGGATGTAGTACAGAACAATCATAGTGGCCGCCCAAAACACAGTACGTAGGAAGTAGTCCATTGTACTTGCCACAATCAAGTCTGCTACTCGGACTGCCAAACACGCAGCCGTCAATTTCAACCTTGGAATCGAAGCGGACCTGAGAGGGGCCACCAGCGCCTTCGAGAAGACAAGCAAACAGCCAGAAACTTCAGCGCCTCCCATGAAGCGGGCATATGCTACCACACTATATGCGGTCTCCGATGCACCACGAAATACATGAAGTCCGACGTGCGGAATACCACAAACCTCTCTAGGCTTTACGCACCAGGGCTACAAAGGTTAGATAACCAATTATCTCAGCGAGTGAGATCGGTGTCATTTATCGGCTCGCCCAACCAAGCCCACCTTTGCACAGGGATTGCATTAGACACTTGCCGGGCATTAACCACGAAGTAACAACGCCCAGAGGATCATGCTGTGAAGACATACAGGAAAGAACACCTCTGCCTGTTGGCGGTTTCATCGGTAAATCAAAAACGATCACAAGTGTATCAGATTCCGTATCCCACAGCGGTCTTTCGTAAGGCGAACGTTGCACAGGAAGGGGAGGAGGTGGCCTCAAACGGGTGAGATGGCCACTGAAATTCAGGAGGTTCCCCAAAGAACTCATAGTTTTCCCACCACAGGAATTTCGGAGTATTTCTATCACAGGGGTTAACCTCGACCTGTAGGGACGTCTCTTTGGTGTCTGCTGCCACAGCAACTTGCTCTAAACGAAAGCTCAGCATAACATTTACAAGTTTTGCGGTTAAATCAGGGCCCTGATACAGGGACACACCTTGACATTTGGCAGCTCATTCAAATACGACCCGAATCTTTTCTGGCTTTTTTGGGTTATTAACCGGGTGGTGTGATGGATACCACTACTTTGAATCTAATGACGATGTGGGAGAATCCGCCACCCGTTCAATGCATCCTTTCTCCAGCTATACGCAAAGCACCTTATCGAATTTTCCGTGTAAAGCACGATCCTTGCACAGTCCAGTTTTTAGAACCACGGGACGCTTTCTAGCCATCTAGAAGTTATCGGGTAGGACAAGTGAGTTATCTTTCCATGGGAGCGGCAGTTGATAGTGCCTACTTACTCGCACCGCACCAGTCCCCGCTATCGACGGGGATCTTGACCCCTAAAGAGAGACTAGTGTTCGGTGCCGAAGTGTCTGCGACTCCTGAGTTGTACAGTTGCCGCAAATACTCCTGGACGAATTCACGGATTCACGGATTGATACACAGGATCGAGGCATTTGCCCAAGTTTCCCGGGTCGGTTTTGTTCTTGTCGGTCAGCGGCTGTCGTTCACCTGAAAGGCACAAGTGAAAAAAGGGTGCAGCACTACTCTTCATGCTCTCAGCGCGGGGCAGTATGCTCGCCAGCGCGAGGATTCGCATAAATAAATGTCTAATAGTGCTTTAAATTGGGTTCCAGAAGGAGCGTGTACAACCGTCGGAGGGCGGTCATTCCACGCAGCTACTACCCGAAATGAGAAGAAATTTTGTCTAATGAATGTGCGTGCCCTGAGCTTGAAAATTTTCTTACTATGTCCTCGCCGGGTGTTTGCTGGGTCAACG